ACACCCACACACACTTTGGCCTTTTAGTGACCTCTACCGGCCTCGTATCAATGGATCATGAAGGTACACATGTGAATATTGTCAGATATACTGCCAGAGATGAGCCACTTCATACCGTCCAGTGTATGACTTCCTGTGGAAAAACCTGACATAGGTGACGTCGTTACCTTGGAGGACATTCAAGCTTCACACTACTTTTTTCTTTTTAGTGCCAATGGGAACGATTTGTTCTCTGGTTTCTCTGCTCACAGTCAGCATACTGTGACATACTGGACCTCATTTTCTTCCTACAGAAGAATAATTTTTTCAGCATGAAAAACAACTTTTTGGCAGATCGAGACAGTCCATCACATGAAGACTAAAAAGGAAAGTTCCCTTTTAGCCTTGATTGATTCGGATCTTTTTCCTTCTTGTCATTCACCTGACACTTACATGAAGGAACGGACATAGCAACGAAATAATATCCAAACAGCATGTTGCTTTACAAAACTGACAAACCTTTTATGGTCTGAGACAGCAGTATGTTTACAGCTGGTTTGTTTAATCCAAAACATACTTTGAGATTAAGGTGACATTTATGCTTTATCAGAAGTGTTTTCAAACAGTATTTCCAGTTTTACAAGAGAAAAGACTTCAAATATGAAGACTAACTGCTTGGTTGGGCAAATGCACGTATGGTTAACTTTCCCACCTCTGATAAAGAGCTTTTCTACAGGAACCATAGGGGCTAGTTTGCAGCTAGGTTTGATACTGTATGTATACAAAACAAATCATGCACAGCATACAGCATGAATGTAAACTGACTTCGCTCTAACTCTAAATGATACTAATATTCTCCTCTTACACCAGCTGGCAGCCGAATACAATAAAACAGCTCCTCACCACGACTGACACTGAAAACTTTAACGATACAAAACTGATTAACACAAGCTTCGACTAAATCGTTGACTTTAAAGCACACACGTTTTCCAGATGCTCTCTTGGATTCTTAAGGGCCGTCCACACTGCAAACAATAATTATAATGATTACAATGTGAGCATCCACACTGTTAATAGTTCCTGTAATATTTAGTTTCAGCATCAGCCTGCTATTGAGTCACATTCATGCAAATACACACAAGATAAGTTAAGAGCTTAAATGTGATGGTAGGACCGTAAGCGGGGGTAAAATCAGTGGTTCAAAAACACTGCAATCGTGGTTCCAAACAGGAACTACTGGGAAGAGAAGTGTGGACCAGGAGGACCCCTTTTCCACCAAATCAGCTCTGGTTCTTTAACTGGTCCCGTTCAGGATTCAACAACAGTCAACACTAAATAGTCTTCTTATTGGGAATAAACCTCCTGCTTGAACTGTCTGTAGCTGAATAGGGTCGTCATTGTCGACGTAGTTGTGGTGTGGACTTCGCCATCCACTTAAGTTAGAACGATTTTTCAAACAATATTTATAGTTATTGTTATAGTTATCTTTCTTGGTGTGGAAGGCTCTTTTAAAGTTACATTAGCTTCCCAGATTTAACAGAGACTAAAAAAAAAGGTAATTAATAGCACCCCAAATCAAAACCAGGCAGAGAAAAACACTGACTGAATCTGAGAGCCTTTGGTGTGTTTCTGAGCCCAGTTTTCAATATAGTTTTCATATTTCTTCAAAATGTAATCCTATTGTGGTTTGTGGTGTTATGGACGACAATCAAAGCTATAAATCCTTCTTTTTATAACAGTGTGGACAGAGTAGTGGCTGACATCCAGTGAAAAGAAGGAAAGCGTTTGCACTTGATTGTATTGTTGTGGATAACACAGTGTTCATTGCAGACAGGGAAATAAGTCAACACATTTCTCACCACCATTTGGAGATTTTAAAATCTGTTTATCTGTGAAACAATGATTGCAATAGGTACATTTATGCTTTATGCCAGACAGTCGTTTTGATGCAAACACTGTTTTTATCGATGTGATGTTCAAAGCTGATTTTCTGTGGCATCTCTTAATGCTAACGGTTCTTTTTTTTAAACCATTCACAGCAAAAACTGTCAGACATTGTGAGCCTGTTTTTTAAATATCATGGCTTTTGTTTTCTCCAATGGTGTAACAATAGAAAAGCCAGAGGCCTCTTTATGAAGGGACTACATTTTGGTGATGCAGGAAATTGAAAATCTAGCAACAGAAAATGTCAATTGGTTCAAATTTACATAAAAAATTGAAATCTGCTGTTAATCTACAACTTTGCTCTTTGTATGTTAAACCTAAACTGATGTAAAGTTTTTAATTGGATATCTTTCACAATTACTCAAGGTCACATGCAGTAATAATATGCTTTTGCAAATTAATTCAGACATCTCAGTGTCACCATTTTGAATTGGGCCTCTCATATTTTTGTGATTTGAAAATGATTGTAATAATGCTCTTCCATCACTGGTTGTGAGCTTTATTATTACTGCTGAGACCGTATGTGCCTGACATTTAAAAAAGTAAAGCAATATAGTCTTCATAACTGACACACTAGAGGCAAATAACAAAACAACCTTCCCCAGGTATGACACTATTTGTGACCACTCTTCTTTAAAACAAAAAGTTATTTGACCTGTTTTTGTCCTCTTCCGTATAGTGTATAGGCTGCTGCTGCTCCTTAAAACAAAGGAGACATCACAACTGACTTGCAAACCAAACTACCAAGGCAGAACAGGACGTTTGTTGTAATGGTTGTACATGAAGTGCTGTTTTGAATCCAAACTGGTTATAAATATAAACTGAAGACAGTGTTCATAAGCTCATGTTGGGTACATGTTTTAAACCCTGTGACAACAGTTAATTTACTGTACCTCAATACTATGATAATGCCCCACACAGGTTGTACTGTTGCACTGTGTTTAAATGAACTGTTTTGTCAATGGAGTTTGGTGTTTACTAGTTGACATTTTGTATTTCAGCTGGCTGACTCCCAACTTTATGTATTTCACATGATGTCAAATGTATTGTACCTTTAAATAATAACGGGGCAATAAACTCATCTGATGGACGTTAGTAACTCCTACAGTTTTATGTGGTTGAGATAATTCACTTTAAAGTTATAATATTTAAAGGACCTCCGGATGCAGCCGAGGAGTGAGCTCTCGGTGGTAGGCCCTGGCAACTGCCCTTTATCCTGTTTCATTTATCCACAACGTATGTGTGCACACAAGAGATTGAAACATTTGGCACATTTTTTGCATGACAAGCTTTAACTTCCGACCTTAAGTCACTTACACACTAGACCAGATATGTCCCTTAATAAACTGCTAGGGGCTATTCAGGAAACAAAACAAGGACCTGACCAAATATACTGACAAAAAAAACATCCGACTTTCAAACCACATTGACTGAAATAGAGGCCTCACTCTCCACGCTGTTAGATCAGGTGCAGGAGATGGAGACACCTGTGGGTGCAAACGAGGACGACATTAAAGATACAAGCGTTGACAAGATGGAGAAACTAATGTCTCATCTTAAAGATAAAACGGATGATCTGAAGAATACTAAACGTCCCAGAAAAACCCAGAAGGCCGAGATATGGTGGGATTTTTGGAGCGGTTCATACACAACTACTGGGCAACGACACCTTCACCCTCACCGTTACTTTGGAGAGAGCACACAGCATCGGAAAAATGTCTGAGAGAGCGAGGACAATCCTCGCCAAGTTCCTGAACTTCAGAGACAAAGAGAAAGTCCTCCAGCTCGCCAGAAGCAAAGCAGAGATCACATATGAGAACAAGAGTATATCATTTTATCCAATGGCGGTTCTATCTTGAATGACACCCTGGGCGAGAAAATGTATACAATCAGATATATAAAAAAGTA